ATAGCTAACTTGTATATGACAACGCGCTGCATACGAAATGCAGCGATTATCTATAAGAGTGTAATGTGGAAGGGATGCTTTAGCAACAATTTTAGTTAACTTTTCTTCCTTAAATATGTGATAACATGTCATTTTTATATTTATTTAACGACTATTGCGCAACACAAGTGCGGTATAAACAATGCGTCATGCAGCGCGACGCATATAATATGATACTGATGACTTATTTTTGAAAGATGCGATTTCGGAACATAATAAAATCATATATGGTTGAATTCAGCGTAAAAAATGCTACAACTTTTGTCATTACAAAAATTTTGAAATTCGAAAAAATAATACCAAGGGGTAAGAGTAAATTAAAAAAATTACATTTTTTGAAAATCCAACTACACAGTTATAAAGCCCATTACAAGCCATACAACTTCTACTTGAAACATTTTTTTATATCTCCTACGGTTTTGGCGATAGTTACACACAAAGAAAAAACTCGTTTTTTTCAAAAGGGTGTTTCACCCTTTAAATTTGAGTTAGGGCCACTATAAAAAAATACGTGTCTTCTCAAATTGTATGTTTTACAACATATTTCAAGGAGAATCAAATCGGGAGGGGACACTTGTGAACGTTCCCTTTAAGAGTGTTGTCAGCATGTGTGTTGCTACACTTCTGCACTTCAAGACGAGAAAATTTTTTTTATAAAGAATACTATTATTTTGATATACACTATCTCTATTCGTCTCCACAACACGTTACATATACATTTTACGACCGATATTAATTATATCAATGTGATTAGTATCATCAAAGCTGCGAGCTGACAGGTCTGAGCGCCGCCATGTTGGAAAAGAACAGACATCTTTTAGAAAAAGAAAGGAAAGAAAAAAGACGCTCTTATGCGGGAATCGACATTTCACGGGATGTAGAAAAGGACAACCATGTCGCATTTTGATGCTTCTAGTTGACAAAGGAAAAACTTATATATTAGAGAAGGATGACGAACAGACGACGACGACGACCAAGACTTACATAGATTTCGGCATATTTCGACTTTGGCAAACTTTGGCAATTAATATATTTTTTTAGAAAGCATGTACAAAAAAAGTAAAGATACTTTTATTATGTAAATCGCATGTGCTCTATCGATTGAGCCTATTATAAATTCGATCGGTCCACGCATTATTGAGATATGAAAATCTCGACTCCTATCAGCTCATGTGCTCGACGTAAAGATACACGGTCGGTCTTGCGCTGCGCGTGAACTTGGCGCGAGACACTACCGTGTCTCTTGATGTTAAAGTGAACTTATGAGAAAAACAAAAGCAGTAAGAATAATATTGATTGTGAAAATTATTTATAATCTGATAAAATAAATGCCTATTATTCTGTTTGAATTCAAGTAGATGTTCAAAATCCATATAAATTTTTCGTTGGTACATACACATATTATGATATCTATTGTATATGCGTACATATACATAAGTATTAATATTTCAATAATATTCACTAAGCAAAATGTTAGTATTGACAACACATTTGATCAAATTTACTGTCAATCTACCAACATTGCTAACATTTTGCTTGCTAAGATAGCTGATATAATTTTCATATCATGATACTTACTGACAAAGAAGAACATCCTCAAATACTATATCACAAAAAACTTTCTAATTGAAAAATCATAATTAGACTTTAATAAGACTATAAGAAAGACTATAATAAAGACTATAAGAAACGTATATAAATTTGCCATTTGTGCATCGATAAAGCTCTTCCATTTATAGAAAATTTCAGATGTGACGGTATCTTCTGATTGTTCTTGCAAGTTGATGGTCTTTCTTAGCTCATTTAATGTTTTAATATTATAGTCATCTTCGTTATAGCCATGTAATATACTTATCTTTACTTGCAACTTTTGTCTAATATTATTAATAAATATAAAAATTTATTTCATATTTTTTTATTTTTCTTTGATTTGTTTTAACATCGTTATGCGGTTAGGCCAATATAAAATAGTAAGAAAATAGTACGAAGAAAAAATAAGAAAAGAAAGAAATTTAGAAAAAAAAATATAGAGTTTGACTGTATTTTGTTTTTAAATTATATGTTTTAAAATTTGATTTTATCTATCTTTTTTTAACAAATGACAGTTAAAAATATAATTATAATTATAATTTAAAAAACAAAGCAAAACACGATGTACGAGAAATAATAGTTATTGGCAGCAAGAAATATTTATTGCCACTTCATTGACTTAAACATTCATATGAGGTATATAACAATTAACATACCGACATATACATTTTCGCTCACAAGATATCAACTTATTCTCTAATTTTAAATTATAACAGAAAAAATAGACTGTATTATCAAATAACGTACATAAATTTCACTTATATGTACCTGCATAAAATATATATAATTATCTTTTCATAATTGATATCACGCCATTAAATCGCAGTGAGCATTCGCACGCGACAAATGCGATTTTATGAAACAGTAAAAATTACTATATTTCTTAATAACAGTTATTTAATGTACTTTTCGTCACATTATAAATTGTATTATTATTCCACACCCGTTACATAAAAACATCCACAATCACTTTTTTTCCATAAATCTTTAACATTCTGCTTAACAAATAATAACTATTCTATAATAAACTGCATTGATCTTTGTATAAAATTAAAATTACAATGTTACTTCATATATTCTAAACTTTTCAAAGTCACATAATCTTAAAATTATTAGTATAAAAAATTTGTTTCTCCCTTTCCCATAACATTATATTGCACTAAAAGATAAAAATATATTCACATAATTCGTCTATTCTTTCAAACACTTATCAAATAAATATGTTCATTGGCACATTATTATTTAAGGCACTATAAACTTAGTTTTTAAAATTTCTTGCATATGTTTCATAATATACATAAATCTCAATGAATATTATTAATTCTTTATAATAATATCATTATTTTATTTTACTTTCAATAACGTTAATATTTTTAAAATTTGTAAAAGCAGAAAAATTATATCTAAGAAAACAAAAATTGTTAAATCAACAAATAACAACTATATACAATATTAAAATTTTACACTTAGTTTTAGTGTGGCACATATATCGAAAACCGATCGTTTTCATAAATTGTACTAAAAAGCGATACGTAATCGTATCTTTCTTTACATAATCTCTTTACTCTTCCATTTCTTATTCAACTGCTGAATATATATATCGCTAAATACTTTTACAAACTTGCTGTCATTTATATAGTCTACAAATGCTTAGCACATTTATATTTTTGTCCGAAAGATATGTTTTCAATAGTGATAATATTATTTGGTCGCTTGTTTAGTTCGATATTACGAGCATCCCTTTCTCGATTCTTCTTTTTTCTTGTCTTTCGCATCTTTATAACATATTTCTTTCCTATTTCACTTTTCTCTTGCTTCATTACATTTTATTTCGCATCCGTATCAGATCACCTTATACTTCCATGAAAAAATTAAGCAAAATAAAATTTGCCGAATAGACGTATTTTGCACATTTTTCGAGATAGAACGCCGCACTTTTTAGAGTACAAGCAAAAAACGAGTATTGAAAGAAATTATCGCATTGTTTCACAATGCGTTATTAAATTTAGTGCATTCCCCTTTCCGCATTTTGCTAGGTAGCCAGCCAATAATTCACCGAATTTATTATTCTTTTTAATAAATTGTATGATTCAACCTGCTCTACATGCATATTATTTACAAATTAATAATTATTCTATTGTTAGAAAAAAAATTTTATACTTTATAATCCATTGCTTTGTACAAATTTACATTATACAAATATAAATATTTATACGTGTCATGATAAGAGCATATATATACTGGCCATGAGCATATGCGGAATGCGAAGCACAAAAAATCCCTTTTTGCCGCAAGTCGCTACGTTAATTTTTCACCCAGTTATAACCTTTTGAAAATTTAGTACGCGCAATTGTCAATAAACGCAGCACGCGCGCGTGTGTGTACGCATACGTGAGGCTCGCGTAGGCTATTTAAACTATCGCGTAACTGTTACGATACTAGCCAGCTAATCAGCTGGCCAGCGGTAGTAGGTCGAGGGGGGGGGGGAGACAGCGGCGGCGGCTACTGTTTACGTTATTTCACTCGGGATATAACTATCGATGTAATCATCAATATCTTCGCCAAGAAAAATCGTAGCAAATTAAAATAAATTTTATTTGAAAGATGAGACTCTAACGCTTCTAATGAGCTCGGTGTTATTAATCTCGGATAATTAATTTGCGAGATATCATTGATTAATTACAATAATCAACTCTTTCGGTATGAGAGTATAAGAAACAGTCGCTATCGGTCAGTGCGTTGAATTCACGAATGTGTCTCAGTAAACTTAGGACAATGCGTACACGCGATCCACAATCGCAACAAATTTTTGAAATGGTGTATACATATATACGTCCTGCATTTTTGTACCAGAAGAATTAATTATTACGCGAATTTAAAACATTCATAATCTCAGAATATTTAAACTGTATATAATGTGCGATTGTGCCATATTTGCTATGTTGCTAAGATAAACATAAAACGTATAATGGATGAAATAATATAAACTCCATAATCTTTTACAAAATTGCAAAATTGGCATTTCATTTTTCTCGTCAGAGAAATCCTAGAGTTAGAAGAAATTGTCGAGTATTTAGTTCTAAATTCAATATGAATTCAATTCACACACTTTCAACCCAAAGATCGGAAAAACTGGAGTATAGCATAGCTCTGTAAGTTGCGTATAATGTAATGGCAATATTAAAATAATTATTATTAATACCAAAAAATATTTATATATGCTTAAACAAAGAGAGATTGATCTTGCATATAAATGACATGATGTATACTTCAATTATATTACAAAAATGGCGTGAGATCCAAATTCATTTTATCGATAAAACATAATTATAATACCGCAAATCATAAATTCATATAAAAGTTTGTATAAACTTCATATATAACAATTTTCCGAATACATAAGTTAACATTTCTTTCATATAATTCCTCCATCATTCAATATATAATAGTTTACTTTTGTATTCGGTTATGTTTATTATCGGTTGAAGAATTGTATTAATTAAGTCAGAATCCTAATAAGTTTGTTATCAACGTAATGTTAACAACTTCCAAACCCATTAGTTTTTTGACCGACGTGTGACGAAATCATCTTGTGTATATTTGTTAAATATTTCTATACTTTATAAAATTTATCTCTCACCTTAATATGTTTTTTAATATATATTTGTAACAAAATCTCTAAAAATTGTTCAAATGATTTTTGACTTTATCAGCAATTTATAACGCTCGCTATTCGGATCTGAAAGAAATATATATCAATGTTATTAATTCCAATCTTTCTTCAAAGTCGTAAGAGTAATAAAGTACGCATTTACCTTTGATAGTTTCGACGAGATACATACTCTCGTCTTTCATGTTCGCCACCAGCTCGTCGGTGACCAGCACGTGTATACCTTGTGGTCCTAGGAATAGAATCGAGTGCAGTCGGTCGTGGGGCAAGTTTAGAGTACCGAGCAGTTTGTTAGTGAGCACGGCGCTTGTCAAGGTATCCAAGTAGGCGACTCTCCAAAGCGAGCCGTTGCCCTCCAGCGAGAAGTAGAGGGTGAGCTTTGGAGTTGGCGCTTTGGAGTGTAACGTGTTGAACAGTCGAATGCCATCGGCTACCCCGCAGATCTGGATGAGATCCTCCCGAGATAAACGCAAAATATCCGATGCGGAAAAACTCGCGAACGTCGATTCGAACGCGTTGAATCGACTCGCGCGAAGCCACGCTGTTGTTTGCGTGGCATTCGCATCGGGTGATAACTCGGTAAAGCATGGGGTACCCTGCGAAATAAAGTTAACATAAATGAGCGACGTGGATTGGACGCTTCTAATTTTCTCTAATTATTTTGTTAAGAAATATAATTTAAAAAAAAATTAAATGCTTCTCTTTTTAAGAATCGTTAAAATAAAACGGGATCAGTAAAAAAATATATCAATATTTTTGTTAAGCAGACATAAAATATTACATTCCTCAATTTTTTTTTCGAGTTAATATGCAGCGTAAAAAAATATATAGCGAATAAAAATATTCAGGGTCGAAAGAGCTAGTTTGTTTCCTGACAATAAAGATGTTTACTGTTTTCATAGACTCGATTAGCCGTCGTCGAGAAAAAGTAGCTTCGTGTGTAGCCAAACTAACATCAGCTTCAATACAAGGTTGATCAGGTAATATAGCCGCGGGCGATGGCAAGGCTGGCGCTGTTTCCACGTTTTCCTTCACGGCGTCCGAAGCAGGGACTAGCGGTACGATACCGGAATTAGAAACCGAAAGTGCCAGCGGAGCTACTACTGGAGATGAACTGCCACCGATGGTCGCACGTGTCTGCGGCGATCTGAAAAATATCAAATTCGGTTGTACATTAATCACACGGTCTCTTAAAAACATAATTATAAAAATATCATAATTTTCTATATGTAACAAATTTGTTGCATCGCTATTTGCAATTTTAAACAGTTATGAATAATCGCAATTGTCTCTTTTTTACGACGATTCCCAGATGATTCTTTCCGAGATAAATACAACATAAAAATGTACTTTAGATGTTAACGTGCGTATATTCGTTCATTTAGTGGCGCGTTGCAAAACGTTGGCGAGTCGTCAGATTACCTACCTTATTAATCGCGTATGCATGTGACATAAATTATCGGCTACTGACAGTTATACATTTAGCAGAACAATTTTACGAAGAAACGTGTGACACGCCAGGCGCCACATCGCGCCAGACATGTGTCCCTGATAAAAACTGGCATATTTTCGCAGTAAAATAATATTATTTATGATAATAAAATTATATCGCAATCTGAAAAATTAAATGTGAAAACAATATTTAAACATATGTTCAAAATATATTAAGAAACGTTGATGAAATATGTCAAATATCGACAAAACGAATAATATATCTAATAATCGTATACTTCATAATTTATACTGCATACTAGTATGTGTGGCGCTTCAAAACAAATTGACCAACTTCTATCACGAAAACAAGAAAATTGACTTCTTATCTTCGAAGATGTTGCATCAAATATTACAAATAGTTGGTATTATTGTGTCAAAACTAGCACACAACCTTGGCGATTATGATAAGTAATTTGATAAATCTTATATCTGAAATATCAAATTCTACTACATAATTAGATGCGAAAGTTACGTAAATACAGTAATACAGCAAATTTACAGTAAATACAGTGTTATCAACATTCTTGCAAGATAAAAGTATACAAAAAAGTAAAGTATACGAGATAAGAGTATATAAAAAATAAAATAGAAAAAGTAAAATTGAAAAAAAATAAATATTGGAAAATATTTATTTTAACTAATGTAGAATTATTTAAAATAAAACGAGATCGGTATTTCACGTTTAATATCTATCTGAAAGTCGTCAATATTTTTACGCATTCGCATGAAAATTCCTCAAAATTTCAAGTTATTCCACAATCGAAAAAAATGATTAATAGCATTTTTTTTTTAAAGAAGAAATTGATAACGTGTCCTTACACAGTACGGCCTTTCAAGCGAACTACGAGCTTGACTTTCTTGCATCCGTCGATCCTTTTCATGTCCTGACGCTTCCTTATCTGAAGACTGACCAGTCCTCCTCGCATAACGTATCCTCGCTTTATGCGCGCGTTCAGCAGCGCGTGGACAAACTTGGCCACAAGCTGCACGTGCAGCAAACCACCGCTCACAACTACTTCGTGCTCCAGAAACCATGTGACAAATTGATCGAGCGGATAATGCGGTCGCCTAATGGACCAGCAGCTCCTCAAGTCCCAATAATCCCTCGACATGTCGAGCAAACTCTCGCTGTTGCCGAAAAAAAAAAAATCTTCTACGACGAATTCTTTTTATCCTTGAAGGCCTTCTTCCGACTCTTCACACGCTCATTCATAAACACGGTACACCCGCACGCTCGAACGTTCGACCGTACTCCGAGCGTCCTTCCACCCATTCGTGGTCGATGTTATCGAGACGCCTCTCCCGAATTCGGTCCGTCCGATTGGTCCGATGAACATTGATCAGTCTTTTCGGCAACCGATTGCCTTCATCACGATATTCATCGAGATGTTAATGCGAGTCACGTTGTCCGGTGCGATGTTCGTCAGCCCAATAACTGAAATCGCTCGCTGAATTCAAGTAATAGAGAGTGGCTCTGGCTCATTCGGCAGATAGGATCAGTTCAAGTCAGTCGGATTGCATTTGTCTGCCGCGAACCGGATACCGCTAGTCGCCCGCAACGTTCCCGTCTGCCGACGAACTCTCTCGAAATTCTGACCTTCGCAGCGATAGTCTTTCTTCGCGCATTCGGCTCCGAATTGCAAGCTTCGCAAAGTCGTGTGACCGACGTGCTTTTATTTTTTTTCTTCTTCGCGCTAACGCCTTATGTGCGGTCGTGCAAATACTCGTCACTCGATAATAACTCGTAATCCAATCCTAGCCCCAAGAATGGAATTCTGCATTACATTTCCGGGAAATTCCGTATTTTTTCTGATCATGTGAGACCGGTTTCCACTTCACCGCTGTTACATGCTGTACGAGTTCTGCTGTTTGCCTTACACTTGCCCGACGTACCTCTATAAAAGAGTGAACTTTGTATCCTCTCGAGAGTCGTTGAGCCTACGTGATGTTTATCTACTCGAGAACGCATGTGTCGTCACTTTGCATCGGGTTTAATTACAATACGGCAAGTGTGCTATAACATGTAATTTTTTATTACCTCGTAAAACACTTCTCGTAAGGTACGTCGTACTTCTTCTTCCTGGAAGTTTTCCGCTCCGAAGTTATGAATCTTTTTTCTTTGTTGATACAGCATGGATAAATATTTCGATTATGAGAAGAATTCAGCCCCGGAATCAATTTATTTACTGCGGACTCGCACAATTAGTCTCATTGGTCTTTTTCGTGCGATAAGCAATTCTTACAAGCAGCTGTAATTTTCCTCTTTATTTTGTTCTCGAAGCTAAATGGACTTCACGAATCTAATTGAGTTCTCGCGAAGCTCACTTACTTTTTCTCGATTCAAGAAAATCTTTCTTTTGTCGGAAATCCCTTCTCAAAAACTTCAACTTTCCTTGTGTCTATTTTCTCTCGACTTCTACTTGAGAGAAATAGCAGTCTGATTTCTGTTCTCCGGTATTTTTAATAGCTTTTTCATGCTCGGGAAAAATAGGACATATCCTGATTACAAGACTCGATTTAACCGCCCTGGCATCAGCTTTTCGGCGGCAAGGCTGCTCGTCATCTGAGAAGATGATCCTGCCGAGATAGGAGCACATAGATGGCCAGAATATTGCGCGCTGCCACGACGCTTAGATTGTCGGTCGACGCAACGAGAACTGCGTGCGAAATTCGCGTAAACTCTGTCGGAAGTCGACTAGCTGCTGCGACGGACGAGGGCATTCCTGAATGATACTCACTCACGATATATCGACTCGCCAGTCTCGCTATTCAATCAGGCTTCGGGGAGATCACTATCGCTTGGAGAAGATCGTGCGATACATCACACGTAGCTCTTGTTAGACGCGATCGCGAACTGTCATAAGTGATCTCGTCAGCGGCTTTTATTGCATGACTAATGCTTGATTGATTGCAGCGCGCTTAATTTGTCGCGGGAGTAACGATGGGTGGAACAAGGAAGTGACTACTTATTTAGAAGACAGTGTAATATTAGGTCGCCTTCGATCGCGATGCAATTCGGAATCGGACACATCAACAGTGAGCGCGGAGAATGAATTGCTCCGACCAGCGACGCTAATAGGAGGTCTTATTGTACGCTCGTCGAGCGCGTTGTTTGCTTTGATAAACCCGATCGGCCCGCTTCCTGCCGATGGACTCGCTCGCACCGGAACGCGCTTGCCGCGTACCGGAATATACCGGACTAATTGTAAGAATTCGGTTATCTCGGACGATAGCTTCGGCGTATCCTCTTTCTCTCACCGCGTACAAACCAGGTGACTTGTTCAAATACAACTTTATCAAACACACAAATTTGTCAAGATTAAATACGGATTATCAAAATGCACCAGCCGCGATATACAGAAACTCAGATCCCTCGATATTGCAGCAAGCGCCAGAACGAGTTCTCTTCATTCCCTTCGACTTTAACTGTCGGATGAGAGGTCTCTCAGCTGTAATTATTCTTTTGCAGCACTGAGTATAACGTATATTATTAGTCTCTTCGAAAACGCTGCACTGTTCTGGAACGTTTCGGTCAAAAGCGAGTCGGACTACCGGTTCGAGTTGATACCGGTTCTCGCGTGCGCGATGCAACAGCGACTGCAAGCTCAGCCGCTTTCTTCCCGAGTGATGCCCGGCGGAATCGCCTCAAGGTTGCGCGCGCTCGGTGGGATATCGATTCCTGATCAGTCGTGACAAATAGATTATACACTTTTCGGCGTTCCACGACAAGGAAGGCGCCGGCTGACCAATGTCGCGGACGATTGCGCGTGCGATCACCGGTTTACTGGTGCGACACGTGGTACGAAACTCAACGATGACGGATCACATCGACAACAGTTGTTATTTCAATGCATGGATGTGTCACGATGACGCACCCGGTTCCCAACGTTATCGAGTGACAATGCGACCTGAATAGATTCGGCAGGATAGAGCGACGCGGCTACGCGCGGTGAACGACGTTCTGAATTTGTTCACATGCATCGTGTCTCTCTTTCGCTGCGTCTGTCTTTCTTTCTCTTTCTTTCCCTCCTCTATCTCCCTTACTCTTTACCGGTTCTCCAACTTCCCCTCCATCACGGGGCCCGTCGTCGGCAAAGACAGGGACGCCGGCTCGCGCCAGTTCGAGCCAGTTTATCCGCGGCGATGCCCGACGTTTACCTCCGCATCTCCCCACTTCCCGTTCACCATCACCGGCAAGCAAACTCCCACCGGAGGCATAACCACCACCACAAACCATCATCCTTTAACGTAAACTCCTACCAATCGCGCATATATATCTGACAACGTCGCAATGCTTTCTGGTACACCAAGAAATGCATACTGTTCTTTGTTTTCTTTGGACTCTATCCTTCATGTTGATAAAGCGAGAAATAGGAGGAAAATGAAGGACAGACATTTTTCAGATGGAAAGACAACTTCACTTTTCTATTTTTGCTATATTGGGATTTTTGTTGCTCTTCGTACTGATTTAAAAAAATAAAAAAAAAAGAAATTTATTATTTATCTTTCATTTTTGAAATCTTTTCGTTTTTCGAGATCTTTATTTTTCTGATGAGATCAAGAATCGAGATAGAAAACAAAAAAAAAGGAAGAAAAAATAATGAATAAATATGTCTTCTTTGGCTGATAATTTTTCTCTACGAGTATTCCTCTGAATCTGACATTTTTCATCCCAGACGGAACAGAAAAATACACTTGTGATGTAAATTCTTTGATAAATATCACCCCTTATTTCGACAAAGAGGAAAGAGTGTGGCGAAAATAAGTCGCGAATAGATGATATCTTCCTGATTACGTCTACGACATAACTCGGCTTTCGTGGACCCCGCATTTACTTCCACGTACGACGCAGTGCTGCGAAGGTCGCGGTGATTGCTTCACAGATTGCTCATTTACAACAAGCATCCGTATAAATAGCTGGCAAAAGCAAAACATTCATCTAGGGACACCAAGTGTATAGGAAACAGTTTGCTATTTATATCCATGGAAAACAGGTATCCGTCATGCACATGACGCAAGGGCTCAGTCCAACTGCGTCTCTCAGCGCAAATCGACACGACGAACGAAAATCAAAATACAATCAGGAGTTAAAAAAAACCGGTTTGTCTCTTACTTATTCTGACGTTACGGCGGAATATCAGGCTGTACAGATCGAATTGCCAGTAAAGTCATAAAGCGAGTGTTAATGCTGGGATAAAAATAAAATCGGCACTTCATTTAAATTTCATTTGGATGACTGCGCATGCAGTTGCAACGTTTGTTTTCTGCGTTGCTATTTTCGAAGGAAGCTGTCGTGACACGAATCATTCGACAGGCCGCATGATTCATGTACACTTAGGCGAGCGCCCGAAACCCACCGTATCCAGAATCGGCTAGCTGTTATTTGTATAGTCATTGAGAGCCACGAGGCTCGCAATCAAATTCTCGCTTCTGCCTAAAGATATTCGGTTAGTTCCGCGCCAGAAACGGAATGTATTAAGCGGTAATAACGTGATATGTTAATCTTTTAGGTTGCTCCAATTTCTTGGTAGAGTTTACCTCTCGGTTACCTAAAATAAATATCAGTAAATCTTACTCGGTGGTTGGAATACCGAATAAAATTACCTCTTGGTAATAATAATTTAACCCGTAGATAAACTTTATCAACAGATAAAACATCAGTTACTGATATTTTCTGATGTTTATTTTAGGGAACTGAGAGGTAAAGTCCACCAAACAGTTGGAACAATCGATCCTTACTAATACACAACACTTTTGCTACTATACGACTGTGAATTGTAAGTTTCACGACACGTATGGATTCCGTGACAATTAATCTTAATCTTCCTTCTACAAATACCGCGCTGTATTCAATTTAATCCTTTATAAGAAATGAAAAAAGTGACATTAATCTAACGATTTCTATTACAAGATCTATTAATGATACAAAGACCTGAATAATATAAGCTATTAAAAAAATAGGTATTAATGTTTTACAAATTCAATAATTATATGAAAAATAAGAGGCATGAAAAACAATGTTGACGTAAAAGATGCAATCTAATGTTGACAGGTTAATAGTGGCAATTCGTATAATTATTTTTTCCTTGATATTTATATTTAACCTAGACATTCTACGAATTGTGCGTTTTATTGACTTTATCTATTCAGCGATTATCATTTCTTGATGTTTTTTATTCCGTCTTTTTACTTATTAAACGTACTTATACATAAAAACATGACAACACTACTGCGTCTGCGATATAAAGTATAATACAGTAAAATACAATTAATCTTTGTTGCTAATGTTTACATTTTAAGTTGAACGTACGATGCAAGAATAATTTTTATGCAAAATGTTATCTCAATTGCATCTGCTCACAATCATAATATTAAATGACATTATTAAGCAATATGTTTTCTTCCAAGACTTCTTTCGCATGCAAATGTCGCAATTTTCAGAACGCAATAACAATTAAAAATACATTAGCAAAAAAATAATTGTAATAATAGACTTACATTGCATCCGTTGAGGCGTACGAGTTTCCACCATTTGGTGCCGGCAAACTTGAAGGTGATAAGGATTCCATAGGAATCTATCGCAGAAAGGAAAAATAGTTAAAAGTTGGAAGAACAGAGTTTTGTTAGCCATTTTTAAAATTTTTTGTATTTACGGGAGAATATTTTTCGGTCAAACTCACATCAGATAGAACGGTGCAGTCATAGCTGGGCTGATATTTGTCTTGTTCGTGAGGAGGACGTCTCAGTATTTTATCTCTATCTTGCTTATGCTTGCGTTCTGCTCCCTTTAATTTAAAGACTTTCACCTGACACGAAGCGGCGTGTAAACGCGGTCCTCCTGGCAGCTGTGTCTCCACTTGAATGCGGAAAGGAACGCCTTTTTCGCCACCGTGCTTCTTCGGTGTAAATTCAGTGCTTATGCAATTAACCTATTTACAAGATAAACAAATATCTGTGTAGTAGTCTCGAATAATATTCTATCAAGCTATTGTAAGTCAATAAATATACTTTAGAGAGAAATTTTCTAGATAAAATTTTATAACTCTTCTATTGAACTGTATAACGAATATATTCAGTAAGCAAAATGTTAACAATGTTGACGGATTGACAGCAAGCTATTGTAAGTCAATAAGTATACTTTAGAGAGAAATTTTCTAGATAAAATTTTATAACTTTTCTATTGAACTGTATAACGAATATATTCAGTAAGCAAAATGTTAACAATGTTGACGGATTGACAGCAAGTTTAATAAAAATTAATTTAATTTTTTTACTGTTAACCTACCAATATTGTTAACATTTCGCTATCCGGATAAATAGTGAGAATTCCATCACGTCTGCTGCGAACTACTGTAAAAATGGTAAAAAATAGAAAATATATATTTTAGCGTACTTTGATATACACGCCGACTTCTTTTGTGGGATCCCACATAAACTCCACACTGTTATTGGATGGCAACGGTTGACAGACGTCTACCATGCCATAGCTGAGGGGAACATCAACCTCTAACAATTTCTCCCCCGGTCTAGCGCGTTGCCAGGCCAACATCTGTTCCCGTTCCGTGTATTGTAGCCGCCGCTCGTGGAAGCAAATGCGTATCGTTGACTGAAACAGAAAGGTCGGATGTTTCTACAGAGGCGTTGTAGCACCGTTTGGGCGACTCACATCTTTCGAACGTCGAGGTCGCGCCATGAGCTCACACCTATCGCATTAATTTATACTCGTAATTGCGAATTATTTGTTTCGTGATACCCCAAGACAGATGAATGTAAAAGAATTAGAATTTTATTTGCACAACAATTATCAGCAGAGTTAGTGTCCATTGTTGCCATCCATTTGGCTACTGTATTACATATATAATTTATAGCGTCATAACGAGTTAAGCGACAATTATGTTAATGATTGAAACATTTACATAATATCTTCCACATAGTATTCTTTTTTAAACCATTATTTATTTTATTAGATTTTATAATGAAAAAAACATTACTACATTATTTTACCATTATTATTTTGACAAAAAGGAATTAGTCGAATCGATGTTAGCATGAGCTCGCTCGTTTACCTCACAGAGAGCTACTAAGCGTTTTTTAAGATGCTGCTACCCAAACTTTAGAAGCGTCCAAATGAGCGTTCGGTATTTAAAAGCGTGACAAAATACCTTCAGAATTTTTCCTCGGTAAGCAGACAAATCTCCCAATTTTTTTAATTTGATTTCGTATGATTGCCCTTGGTTCAGATACGTCAGCGTTTCTTCGTTGACTTTGGTGGCGATACTGGTAGCAGCTGCTAAGACATACTGAAAACTAAAGAGAAATCTCGTGATATACAACGCTACTTTTAACTCATATAAAAATTAAAAAATAATCTATTTTTTTTGCTCCATTGAAAACTAACAAAAAATTTTTTAACAGAATAATAAAACAGTAAAAAATTTTTTCATGTTTGAAACTTTTCAGAAATCTTGAAATTTTGCTTATTCTGTCGGTTAAGGATTAAAAAGGGATAAAAGTTACATAATTTCTTATAAAAAAATCTATGATTAAAATTTTTGATATCGTTAATCGTTTAATTATACTGCGATTAAATAGCGTACCGGCAGTCCTCATTCAACTCGTTTCCTTGCTGAGAGGAGGAAACGTGATTGGCCGCGGTCGAAGTCGGCGGGTATTCCTCGTTGGAAGAATACAACAGCTGATGGAGACTTGCGGCGGTTTGGCCATTGTTATTGCTATCAGCCTCGACGGAGCCGACATTTCCATTGTTGGACGGCGCTGTATTGATCGCTCTTTGCGACACGTGATTTAAACTGAAATATAAAAAATAAATATAAAATACAAATACGTAAAATAAAATATGCCAGACCGTCTATACGAGGCCAATCTCGTTGCGCTAGAAAATTATAGAATGTTCCATGGTCAATACCACTCACTATAAGTTAAAGAAAAGTGACGGTGAAACGTTCAAATCTGCAGGCGTTCTCATTCTGCTTTCCGGCACTCGTATTCGCAGTAGAAATTTTCCATTCAATTTCACAAATATAAGCCTGTATAGTTTGTCGCAAAAATACTTATTGCTGTTTACGTATCTTACAAGTTCATCGTCTTGAACATCACATCGGCTTTTGTCGCGATTCCTATGCGTTATACTCGCAGAAATATGATTGCAAGTAAAAAGTTACTTCGATGCATGTCTACGCGAGCGATGTCATCATTCGTCTAAACATTTGTTTCCGATACCAGCGTTTTCTGCGAGTTTACAGATATATATTTTACATAATCTCTATTTCACCCTGCCGACCTTTCCATTTCATCGTTCCACATCGATACGATTGCACGCTGGCGCGGCGGATCCTTTCCGTTTTTCTGTTTATCCCGATGATCAGTCTTGCGCTCAGATAACGAGCACTAATTCGAATAGTAATCTTCTATATGAGCAATGGAAATAAATAATGGTATAATTCAAATCTAATTTTGAAAAACGAAAAAATTTTCCTCCAACAGAGAGTAAAAGTAGATAATGTAAAACTTAATTGTTTTATTACAATATTAATTCATGATTATATGTAAATCAAAATTTTTATATTTAGAAAAATAGAAGTTTAAGATTTGTAAAATGAATGTAGATTGGTACATGTAAAAATTATTTTTATTTTTCTCATTTTTGTTCATGAGACTATATCACTATTTTGTCTGCACAGCTCACAAACAACATTTCTTTTACACGCAATGCATTATCTGTTGCACGAATTCCACTTGATTTTTATGTTTTTGCGTCACCTCAGTACGGGATGAGATATCAATCTCCGATTTATGTTTCCGACGCGTCGTGCGACTGACTACTACTTTACGGAGTAACGCGCGCCGCGCGATAAATTCTCATAAGGGAGTAAGATGTCTGACCCGAGCGAGAACGGTTTACACTCTCGATAGTCGCGAACGGGCGCAACGAGCCTTATCTGCAATCGTGTCTTTGCGGGGGAGCCGCGCGTGGCAAATTCCGCTCGGAATACTTTTTTTTTACCCCGGTCACCCCTGACTCGCTCTGAGAGAGATAATCACCGTCGTGTTTGTTTTGTATAGTCATAATTGTAGTAATGACAGTTACTATTATCAGTATTGTCATTCTACTCGCCTCTCTTATTTGCTGCAAAACAAACAAGAATCCAACTCCAAAAATTAATTAAAAAAAGAGATTATTTTTAACATTACAAAGGGAATGTATTTTCAATTAAATCACTCAAAATTATAAGCGATGAAATTTTGTATTGCACTGTTCAAGCTCATAAAAAGTAATTATAATAATTTAACATACTTAGGGTTATTATGTTGATTCTCTGGCGATGGAGCCTCCTGCTTGAAGACTGTTAGGGACGGCAGAGTAAGGAGGGCTTCGCTGAAACGAGACAAAAATTTTTATCTATGTGTTACCGTGATCTTTAATCTTTTCATGTATTCACTCAACAATGTGACTTAACATTGAAATTATAGAAATTATGGCAGTAATAGAACTTATATGTAAATTTTTAGGATAATCTTAAAATTTGCTATGATTATTTAATATTATTTTCATCTCCCGTTTTTTTTTGAATAATTTTAGAAAATTTAAATAAATTTCTTTTTTCTCCTAATTGCACTTTTTAAATTTAAAGTTTACAATTTTCTTGCAATATTTTATTTTATTGAAACAATATACAAAACAATAGCATATTATTTGCTGTTTTTATTTACTATTTTGTAATAAACACTTAGTAATATAGGGCGATATTTAACTCATAGCTTTTTCTGTTAAATATATTGGTTACATTGACGCAAAACCGTGATCGTGTCATGGTACAAAGATTAGGAATTAACGTCAGCTCATCTTGCAATGTATCAAACTTATGCGCGATAAGAAAAGAATAATTTGAGAACCACTACGATAATGCCATGAGTCAGTAAGGTCAGTGCGAACCGGAATAAACTAGTTCACTGTGCAACGAATTTAATCGGTGTGAAATAATACTGCGATATCGTGTCAAGAATACTACCGAAATATTTATTTGCATGATTGAGGTGACCGATCGTGTTAATTGTGTTTGTTATAACACAAATAAATACTTTAACTTAAAATTTATCACGTGGAAGACTACAATCACAAATCATTAATTCATCATTTCCATGTCATTAAAAAAAAAAAAAAAAAAAAATGACAATAGTAATTTTGGTAAAATGCATTACTTACCCAAATTTCATATATTGGTGCATGCCTTTATTTTTTCTAAACTATCGCTTTATTTACAAATTATTTTAAATTAAATGCAAATAATCTATAACAGATTACTCATAGAAATTATTGTTAAAATTCGCGATTTTTTTTTATATTAAGGTATAAAAGTTTATTTTTTTAACAACTTTAACAAATTTATAGAAATTTTATTGATTTTTTAAAATTTATTTATGACAATTTATTTCAATTTAAATATTGTTATAATTCCTTGAAGTTTTCGATTCGAACGATATTGAACACCTAACTCTGAACAATAGATGATCACGATTGCTACTGACAGTTCGTCTAACGAATTTAACTAACAATACGATGAATTCCGCGACGATTGCAGGTAATTACAGCTCAAAGATCTTAAGAAGTACACCGACATTGTGCCAAGAATAAACCGGTTATATGTACACCCGCAAACTGGTGCGCTAGCCGGTTCCTCACTGGTTCTGCACCAGATGTATTGCGACGCGCATTTTCATTCATGAACGGATACACGTGCCTCTTTTTTTTTCACACATAACTCTCGCCCTCGTATATAATCAGCTGATATGCGCGACTCGACAAATCGACAGTTTAATTCAAATTTTTAATTCTAAAAAGTCACAATTTTCTTTATTGGCGAAATATATTTAGATCGCACGAACTTGCGTCGATGACCAACTTATTGTTACAGTTGCGATAGAAAGGCTGAGAAATCTTTAATCAATTACGAATTATGGTAAATCAAAGTTTCTATAAAAAATATAAAAGTGCACAACGTTTAATCTTTTCATTCATTTACTTTGAATCTGATACATAAACATATGGACTTTTGAACATACGAATTTCTGATATATTTCATGTATATTTTATTACGATAAGACCATTTTGGTCACGCGTTCGTATTTATTCATTCTAAAATTGTCCATGTATGTAAATATAATATTTATTACAATAAAATTTCTATACTATTACGACAAATTAAGTAAATTTATCAAATCGTTAAAACGCAAATATTTAATTACGTGTATGAATTATGTACAAATTGTTCACATATATTCAAATAAAAATTATTGATTATACATAATGCACTACAGTTTACAAACGCGTTGAAATATGAAAGAGATTTACAAGATTCACCGGCTGCGCTCCTTTTTCGTCACGTTTAGATGCTTCGCGTACACTTGCGCGCGTGCGTGCATGCCACACACCAATACTCGCGACCGCTGCCGAACAGTTTAATTTTCTCGTA